ATACTAAGTAGTTCCAGCGTTGACCGCTCGATAGCGCCGCTTACCCGCGCTAGAAAAAATCAGTCCGGGAACTTTCCGGACAAACTGTGTAAAATACGCATAAGCTGATAACTACTTTATAAGTAAAACTTAAGGATATAGCTCTAGTGTCTAAGAGCAACGCTCGGAAAGCGAAACACTTGAGTTCGTATCTGCGCTCAGATTTTATTGTGTCAAACAATTTTTTATACTTATGATTTATTTACGTTACGTTTAGAATTTGTTTTAATTGCTGCGAGACGTTGGCGCTTGGAAGAAATAAATATTTAAAAAGAGAATAAGTCTTTACCTAACCTGATTGAATTTATAAAAAAACAAAAAATTATCAATGCAAACAATCTGCATAGTTCAAATGGTTAGGTTATGCTATTAAGAGAGCAATTGCTTGAAAAAATATTGCTTAGTCATTACAGTTTGATTTTTGTTTCATTTATGTAACTTTGCATATAAAATTATTCAAAAGTTGAGAAAAAAAGAATCGACAAAAAAGTATATTAATATTATTTATTTCATTATCATTTTTTACTTGCAAATGTACATAATAACACTCTCTGAATAGTGTCATTTTCAATAAAAATGCAACATAAAATCAATAAATCATGCAACAATCATTTTGCGATCTTGTTTTTACCTTTTCGTTGACTTTTTACACGAATCCACACGTCGGTACTAATTATTCGTCCGATATATATCGTCGGCACAAACGTATAGTGATAAAAAAAAAAAAAAAAACATCCAGAAATTTCTCACAACTGGGTGTTGAGAAACCGCAAAGTCCCTCAGTGATTTATCGCCAGCAGACGTTCTTCCGCGATGAATTGTAGATGTACAGGCTCGAAATATCAGTGTATCGATGCGTGCGTGTACACACATGCGCTTATGTGTACACGCACGCGTTTTCGCTTGCCATCTCGCTAACTTACGAGAGTTCACTTTTTTGATTTCCCCCGGCGAAGTTTTCATGCATTTTTCAGACGCGACCAGCCCCGGCCGGCGAACGTGCGTTTATTGAAAACTGCCCGCTGTTTGAATTTTTCTCGGTCTCGAACCATACTTTTCTTGCGTGGAAAAAGTGTATCGTCGGTTAATTTCTCAAAACGCCACGGCGAATCAAAAACTCTTTGTTTTTAATCTTCCAATCCCTAACTTCCTCGGTGTTTTATTAATTACTGGTTTTGTAAGCATAGCGATCTTTTTTTTACGTATATTTTTCAATGTAATTTATTGAACTAACTATGCACTAAAATCGATGTAAAGATTTGGGCAAATAATATGTTCCTAAAAAATCGATTTTTAATATCAAAAACAAATTTTCAAAATGTTAAATAACTACACATTGCAAGAAAACGTATCATAAATTTAATCAAGAATTTATACACTACATCATACGGCTTAATTTTGGTCTGTGTACGCTAGGCTCGTAAGCCGCGGCTTATGTTTCCACAGATTGCACATTCACATTTGATTCTCGCCGGAATCCAATTACTCACAACCGTGAATTATTGTCACATCGACAAATTATTGAAACCATCTTGACATTTGTAAGCTTCGGACTTGTCCGAGAAGCGCCTCAATTTAAGCCGATTCGTGCACTACTGAGCGTGTGCTTTCTTTTATTCATATCTGTCTTGCTCATCTTCTCTCTCTCTCTCTCTCTCTCTCTCTCTCTCTCTCTCTCTCTCTCTTTCTCTCTCTCTCTCTCTTTCTCTTTCTCTTTTTCTCTCTTTCTCTTTCTCTTTTTCTCTCTCTCTCTCTATGTCCTAATTGCCTGCAAAATATCATTTCGAAAACACTTGGATCCAATTAACACACGCTCGAGAATCTCATGCGCACGCTCGAGTGCACGACACTTCTTGTTATCGGCGACTGCATTAACTGCGATGCCGATACACGACCGCAAGGGTTATAGCAATTTACGGCGTTTACGCGTGCCCGTTCGGCCATAATCGCGCGATCGAAATTGCGGCTGCGAACGTGAGCAGTCGCATGATAAAGTTGAGCGACAATGTGTGATTAATGATCTCACTTGTCCGGGGAAAAAGTCGGCCTAAAAGTGTAAGTACAAGAATGAGTAATTGTGCTTTTCTTCGAATTTTAATTAAAGTAAAATTAAGCAATTTTATTTACGGCACACGGCAGCGTACAAAAACGAAGGAAGTTATTTTCAGTCGGAGATTAAAGTTTTTTAATATTTACATATTTCATTTTCTTGATATTGTGTAATCTTGTTTTGTCGTTTCAGTTATTAACTAAATATTTAATATCAAAATTTGCCATTTTTTACAAAGAAATTGATGATAGTTTTATACAAATTATTATACAAATTTTTATTAAAAAATAACATATGATTAATTTATAAAAAAAATGATTTCATTTTTTAAGTTTAATTAAATAATACTGAAATACAAGATTAGAAGTTTTTATCAAGTTTTTGTTGCAGGCAATAGACAATTTATTAATATCCTTCAATTGTGTGTGTATAAAAATTTTACTTTGATTAATACCGTTAGTGCATATTTTTTATCGGTTTTCGAGAAAGTAAAATCTCTATATTCTAAAATCATTCTGCTATGCAATTAGGCTAGTTAGTGCATATTTTTTATCGGTAAATTGCGAGAAAGTAAAATCTCTATATTCTAAAATCATCCTGCTGTGCAATTAAGCTCGATATATTCAAAAAATAAACCTTATTAAAAAAAAATAAGACACTTAAATTATTTATGTACCTCGCAGTTTGATGCATTTATAATTTACAAAATGTGGCTTTATTGTTTATTACATAGACTTGATTTTAATAATCTATCATAAAAATGTTAAAATATTTATGTAACAATTTGACAATTTTAATAAAATTCATAATATGTGTATATATATTACTTAAGTTCTTATTTAAGTAGAGATCAAACAGAAAAAAAGAAACATTTTGCGGTAACTTGTTACATGTGTAATTATTTCACTTTTTTGTTTTGATCAATCTTTTTTATTTTCTTTTTTTTAAATTACACAAAAGATGTTTAGATATTTATAAAAAATGATAAAAAATATTGTTTTTCCACGTATTTATATTATTAATTATACAGCAGTTCATATTTGTTTTTAAGTCACCGATCGATAAGGGTGAGATATTTCGCTCTCTATTATTTTCGATATTTTGACCAACGCAAGAGAATTAAAACGTGCCGTGTAGGTGCATTTTTATGACATAATCCTGATTTATATCGATGCACCCGACAGTCGACTATCGTCGAGGCTTTATTGAAATTAAACGGAACTTGATTCGGCGGATACAAAATTTTCGATACGAGACAAATTGCGTCGTCGAGCTTTATTTTGGCCGCGCGTCCGTTACAGAGCGAGAACGGCTATCATATTTTGCGGATTATCATACTGGTAGCCGTTGTATTATCTGCGAATCAACTACTTTGCAATCCGGAATTATTTCCAAATTATTCGCGGCCGCTGTTATCGACCATCGCGAGTGTTAATAACTGAGCAACAATCCGCGAACGAATCGATTCGGCAGCATTGAGGACACAGCAGTTCACAGAATCGATTATAAGCTTCTCCATCGAGCATCGTCGTTAATTCGAACACGCATAATCTCGAACGTATATTCGCTCGTGCGTTTCGCGGTATCGAAAGAGATTATTTGTTTGCAATTTTCCTCAATTTTCCGATCGATTTTTTCCTACGTAAAATGTTATAATGCTTTGCGTTTAACTGTAGCATTAGCGGTAATAGGGCCGTTAACTCATGTCACAGTATTGATCGTTCATTAAATATTAAAAAAGCTGGAACATAGATGTGGTCTAGCTGTACTTTCGCGATCGTCGTATTGTTACTAGAAAAAAAAAGCTATATCACAATATGCGCATAAATTATGATTTTTAGTCTCGACTTTGATTCCGCTGTAACACGCCAAAAAATCGCAACTTT